CGCCCTACACAATCATAAATACTGTAGGCCTAAATTTTCCCATTGCACATTTTGCCACAACATAGGGCACAGTGAAACAACTTGAAAAAAAGAAAAGAAGAAATGCATACTTTAACAACACAAACACAGCAGTACTTCAAGACCATCGAAATCTAATAAATAATGACAGTGAACCTGGAATCCAGCACGACACTAGCCATTACAACTCTTTAAAATTAAACCTTTAACTAAGCCCTCCCCTCTGACATAAGGATCAGCGCCCTTTCACACAGACTTTTGACACGGCTGCATATCCACACGTTATTAAGGATGAAAAACTAATATACGATATTAAAGACGAAAACAACATCATAAACATTATACAAGGAAGGGGGGGAGGAAAATGCACGCATAGAAAGCAGGAAAACTCATCATGGTTAATCATAGCATGGCTCTCTTTGACAAGTTCTTCAAGCACAATCTTTTATCAGTCGAAAAGTTGGAGGAAAGGGGGTATACCACGATCAACGCTAAAACAGCCGCAATAAACCCAATAAACGAACAAGCAGTGATGAGTGGGATGATGAAGAAACGGTCTTTACCATATTAATGTTCCACACAATCATAACTTTTAAATTAACCAGAGAAATTTCGCAAACCTGAACGACAAATACATACCGACCAAGACAGTCCTACTAGAATACGTAAAATACGGACACAAGCTACAATCATCTATAATATATAATACCTGGATTACAACCATTTAGGAACCAAGGTTATGACATTTTGTGTCGCCATGAAATAAAAAAAGGAAAAGGTTAATAAGTACATCAGTCTTATAAACAGAAGGAACCAGGCGAACTGCTATACATCGACACACCGCAGTGGGACAAAATCTCGAAACTTGACATTCGACACGCTATAATTAAATCAGGTGCTAGACCCCAGATATTTATTAAGTTCATCAGAGCCTAAGATCAAATTAAATACACCCTTTACGGCTGAGTATCGACAGTATCGGCTCATAATAAGTACATACTTAACAACCCATCAATCCCCAAAGCAATCAGAGTTGATAATGGTACGGAATTTATTAACGAAGACATCTTAAAACGAATTCATAAAGTCGAAAATGTAATATCAACTGCTCTTAAGGGTTCTCATTAGTATATGTTCAGAGCAATATCTATTCAAACACTCCGTATTATGATAAGGTATTTTCTAAAACAATCTGGGTCATGCCCTGAATACTGGGATGAAGCGATGACTAACGCAGTATTCATAATTAATCGACTCCCTCGTAATAACGAAACTGATACCCTGAGAAGAAACCTATTCAACATTACAAACCCCTTGGATGCATAGTCAAATATACAATCCGAGACAGAAAACACAGAGTCAGAAGACCGTATAATAAACGGAATTATGCTATCAACACCAAAATTTTAGCGCAGATGACGAATACAGAATCTTAAACTTAGAAACAGGGAAAAATAATTAAATCACAAAACTTTATGAGCTTTGAAAAATACCTGCCACATAAAAATTAAAGATGAGGAACCAATTGAGCAAAGTCCTCCAAGAAGAACGGGAAATACAGTTTATACAACACAAGGATCTGAAGACAATAAAAAAGTCACTTTCGACGATAACCAAACTGCTAAAATGGAAAAATTAAGAAAACTCGAAGCTCCACAAATTTCAAGAAAGGGTCAAAGGGCCTAGGAATTCACTGAATTCCGCAATATAGACCAAGACGTCAAGATTAAAGAATTAGACACAAGTATAACACTTACAGAGGGAAAACACACCAAATAATAGTAGCTAAACTTACACACTACCAAAACAAAAGTCATGGAACCAATCGAAAATAACAAAGAACAAATAGTAGTTAGATGGACTAAAATTGGCAACAATGACAAAAACTTAACGAGAAAGATCGAACAAAGATACCCAAGAAGAACAGTTACAAAACAAAACAGTTTTAACGACCTTTATCCCTTAATAAAACCACAAGCACACATAAATATAAAAGAACAGACCAAAAACATCGAAGACTCCGCATCATCCCACTCAACATCCTTTAAGGGACTACCGCAGGAAGTCCATCAGATTTAAAACACACAGTATTAGAACGAAAGCCCACCAGTCCAAAAAAATAGACAAACGGTCAACTAATGAGTCGAAACTACTAGCTATCAAATAGCGCAGCAGAATGAAGCACCGATTAAATAATCTAAAAAGGTTAAAACAGACATACTTTTTAAATAGGACTCAGATATCGACATAGAAGCCAAATACAGCTCACTACTTACCTATGTAGAAGCTATAGAAAACATTGATAGAGAGGACTATTAAAAAAGCTGCTATGTTGGAGCTGAAATCAACCATGAGGCACAAGGATTTCACATTAATTCGTCGATATGAAATCTCCCAGGACATTAAAAGATTTCCGAAACATGTAGGTCTTACATATAATGCATGACAACCGTCATAAAGGTGAACTCAATTCCAGGGGAAATATGCAAAAGAAAGGCATCAACTACCATGAAACATATTCTTAAGTTCTCGACAAAAGTACACACTTCGGATACTGATAACTATGGCACAGCTCAAAAATATGCCACATAGCCGAAATAAGCACAGCTTTCTTACACATAAAACTCGAAAATTCTCTCTGCGATCATATACTTCCAGGCATGTATCTAATTAAGGATACATTAGACCCACGGCAAGGGTTGCCTACTCAAGCAACACTACCAAAAGAATCAAAAATGTGTGTCAAATTAACGTTGCAATTTATGCACTAAAGGAGTGAGCAAGACATCAAACATCATATTTAAACACTCTCTCATTGACAACTGCGTCTTCTATTTCTGCGAACGTGAAACAATAATAGGAACCTACGTAGATGATTGTTTCTATTTGGAGACCAATCTTATCTGATGAACAAGTTTCAGGAAGATTACTATGTAGTACCCGTTGAACACAGGAGAGGGATTCTAGGCTCAGACATGAGAAGACTATTAACGAAATACTAATTAATCAAGGGGCCCTCATAACACAAATAGGCGGAGCCCACGAAATAAATAAATACTTTGCAAGAAAATTAAATCCCCACTACTAACGAAAACCAACTCAAACCCCCAGATTACAATGAATTAAACAGAGACTATGCTCGTTTTATATGAAGTTTAGGTATATTGCAGGCTTCACACGCCTGGAACTCTCCTCTACCAACTCTCACCTAGGGAGATTTTGACATAACTATGACGATACTCATCTAGTATCAGCAAAACGGGTGCTCAGTTCACCTAGTAGACAACAAAGGGCACTCTATATATTTTGGAAAAGATAACAATTCCACGGCTCCTATGCAAATACGATGCTACTCAGCCTCATTTTGGGTAAATACGTACGACAGAAGGACAACCATGGGTCACATCACCATTAGGTATAACTTAGTGCAATGGAAGAGAAAAGTAGACAGAAGCAGAATACACAAATCTACATTTTTAGTGAAAGATGTAGCCTTGAGCAAAGCTATTACCGGAGTAAAAGCCCTCAAAAACTTTATTAAAAAAAACTTTTTTAAAAACAAAAAGTTGAAAAGCTAATTTACACAGACAACGAACCCTTTAGCAACGTCACTTAAGGAAACGATCTTAATAGAAGACTGCGCTATATAGACATTGCATATCACTATGTAAAAGAATAACTTAGAAATTTCCTATACAAAATCAAACATATCATCCCATAACCATCTAGCGACATAAAAACCAAAACATTATCACCCCAGAAACATAAGTATATACTAAACCACATTTCACACAACAATAAGCGTGCTACTCAAACTTTACCTAACATAACCGGAATAACAAATATTTTATTCATTTATTTAATAGTTTTTCCATATAACAAAGAACAAGCATAAACACAACCTCTGGCGTTTTAACAAAAAAGGAAACCAAAATTTACTTAAGTATAATTAAAAAACTCCGACAACCCTATTAAGTAAAAAAATTAGTGTGATTGCTCAGGGTCTTACGATATTATCCAAAAGAATACTATATATATAGAGCACGTTTGTGTGACTGCGTAACAGGCTACATTATAATATTTATAACTTTTACAATTCGCTTGTTCCAAGTTACTATAAATTTTTTAGTTCCCTTCACATCAGGATTCGTTAATATTTATTGGCCCGTTCAACATGACCGAATTTACGTTGCAAAAAGCGGTACGTTATAACTTATAAGTAATAGAGCATTGGCCTTATGTTTGAAATCTTGTAAGGTGATAACATGCTAAATGATGACCTTAGTGGAAAAATATTATTACAGTATAATCGGTTGTTACCGTCATTATTCATAAGGTAAAAAGCGTTGAAGCCTGTAATATAATAACAAAATGATAAAAAAATTGGAAATTTTTCAGCAGAACAGAATAACCGTAAAAATGGATAACAACAGTGTACAGAATATTAGATCGTAGGGATAGTAATAATGGTAAAGTAGAGCCAGTTGAGAGTAAGGACTAAAACGTGGAACCACAATTGATCATACTAAAATTGTATTTAAGAGATTTGTAAAAATACATTTATAAACTTAGTCATTGGGAATATTTTGCTAGACTTACCACCACTTTTAAAAATATGTACACAAGCAGAGATAGGCAATGTTATTAAAAATGTGCTTGCAAACCTAACAATTGAAAAACCAAATAGAGGTTTCCTAATAACCATAGAGAAGCCGAAAGCTTTTAGTTAATTGCATATCTTTACCTGCATATAAAAATTTGTTAATTTTTTTTTTTATATATTAAACTTTAACGGACTATTAGCAATAAAATGTTTGCTTTTAGGAATTAAATTGCAGGGTGACTCAATGCAGGCGGTGGAGACAAACTTTACTTGCAGAGGCGCTACTGGTTTAGCGGAGGATCACGAGTTTAAAGGGATTAAAAAATCTTCATTTTACTCCAATCCTTTTTTTTTGTGCCTCTTGACTGTCAAGGATGAGCATATATTTTGATGAAAATGGGGATGCTTCCAACTTTTTCATTTTTACTCTCTTACTTGTTTATACTTCCTATGTAGTTTGCAGCTATATTTTCAGGAAGCTGACCCGAAGTATTTAATTTATCTTACTAGCCCCAAATTTAGTTTAAGTTTTCAGTTATTGTTAGATCTAATTTATTTAAAATAGGATCCTTCTCATCAGCTCCGGAGACTTGTTTTCAAAAGTTATGCCTAGAAAAAAAGGTCACTAGTCTAAAGGAGCCCTCTTTTCTTTCGATAAGGTTGCTACATTACACTAAAAGTCTCTACTTTTAAAATAAATTTAGGAGTTTTAAATTTACTTCGGCTCTTTTTGCGCTACTATATTTTGGTTATAAAGTTTCTCTAATTGAAGAACAAAAAGAAGATTTTGATCCCTATTCTTTGCTTAATGTGGAAGTTGTAAGTTTCTTAGCTATTTTAACTCTATTTAAACGTCGTTCTCTTTTGATACTTCTTAAATAAGATCTTATAAAAACAATAGTATTTATTAGGATACTACTACAGCTGATATTAGAAAAGCTTATCGCGAGTTAAGCAAAAGGTATCACCCCGATAGCAAGTTAAAACTCTCCGATTCTCCAGAAAAATTTATGGCACTTACTAAAGCTTATAAGGCGTTTGTACTTCTTTAAAACTTACTTTTCAGCCTATCGTCACACTGAAATTAGACTAACTAATCCCTTGGCTCGTGAGAACTTTGAAAAATATGGTCATCCCGACGGTCCGCAAAGCCTCAATACTTTTTTTGCCATCCCGCAATGGTTTGTTGAGAAAAGAAATTATTGGAAGGTGAGTGCTGCAATTTGATATCGAAATCAAAAGCAGTTGTGAAATTTTAATTGTTAAGCAATTCATCTTTACAGATTCGTTGAGTAATAAAATAACATAGATATTTCAAATTATTTTTAGGTGGTACTGCTCTATTTTTCGGCATTTATATTGATAGCTCCCACCTCAGTGGTATTTCTTTTTTTGCCTTTATCAGGGCGCGTATCTGCTTTCTCTACAAAAGTCGTTGGTCAACCCTCGCTGTTACCTAATGATACACGTGTACGCCAGGTAATTACGTGGAAGAACTACAGAAAATATATGGATAACAAAAAGGTTCTACGACAATCTTGCGAGGCCTATTTTCGCTTTACTACTGGTTCCCTTTCTTCAGAAGGTTTTTTTTATTGTGCATTATTTTAATAAAGTCATGGAGGTTTTGCACTTGCTTCTATCCGTCTTGCCTTGCGCACTTTGCTTGCTCTTCTTGTCTTTTTGCCTCAAGGCTCAACTTTTTTTTTCCTACTGTTGTAGGTATTATGAATGTTTTAAGTGCCTCCGTGGAATTTGTGGATCTCGTTGTGGACTTAAAAATATATGACCCCTCACTGCAGAGCGTTATGCATCCATTTGACCTTATTCAGTTAATAGTTAATAATCTCCCTTCTCAAGATCTTCCGCCGGGTAAAGCTATCATCTTTCCACCCCAAGCTCACAGCAAGCTATTGCCAGAAGTCCTTGGCCTTAATAGCTGCTCATATTCACCGACTTTCGCTTCCTTCGCCTGTTCTTTCGAGTATACATTTTCTTGGATCTTTAGGATAGTTACTCGTGGTAATAACACATGCAAGGTCAGCTAAAGGTTGTCCTGCTCCTCCCCGACCTTGTTCGGGTGGGACTGGTCCCTGTTCTGTCCTCCAAAGGCTACAAAGAAACGACGTTGAAGGCTGTTTACTTTCTGCAAATGGTGACTCAAGCCCTCAAGGAAAATTCTTCCTCTCTGGAGATGCTACCATACATCACCTCCGATAGGATACTTGAGAGAGGTGAGCTGCGTATGTAATGACCTTCCGCCTTTACGTCGTGCGTGTCGAGCTCCGTAGTGGCCTTCGGCGCATTATATGTAAAATCTTACTGTACGTGTTTTTATGAAGAATTTAAAAGCCGCTCTGGGGTTTCTGCGATTATAGAGTTTGTGCAGATACCGTTGGAGAGTAAGAGGTCTACTTTACCCTTTAAGCTAGCTTTGATATCTGAGGCTCTCCATGTAGAGCATGGCTACACGACTTGACGACCCAGCAGCTCCAGGATGTCATCGCAGTTTCAGAAAATGTTTTATTTGTTATCCTATTTACAAATATTTGAGCTGACAGACTTATTAACTCCAATCCTTTCCCTTGAAGCTTCCCTATTTAAAAGTGGATGGGAAGATTGGCTCCGATGGTGAAGGCGTCCCTGTAGGGTCCGTAGTTACTGTGGTTATTTATATTCAGCGCACGACTATAAATGAATATATTTCTGGACGAGCAAGTAAGAAGAATTAACAATATATTTGTTAGATTAATTATTTCCGTTTTACTAGAAGAAAGTAAAGCTCAAACGGTCCCGAAGGCGAAACATACGAATGGGAAGCCCCCATTCGCATACTGTCCCCACTTTCCTTCGGTAACTCTCGGCTGCATGGCTAGTAAATGCGCGATTGCTCCCCGTACTGTCGCAGCCTTTAAGGGAGAGCTGGCTTGTTGCTCTGAGTGGCCCTCGAGACGAAGGTTTTCTGTGCTTGCCCCAGTTTGTTGACTTGCTTCACGGCAAGGCAGAGGTAAGGCGCCTGTTTTGACCTCGTCTAATGGCTTTAGATGTGGAATTTTAATAAGTAGATAAAGATGAATTTTCAGGCTCCCATAGAAAAAGGTCGACACAATATAGAAATAGAAGTTATGTCCAACACCTATCTGGGTTTTTGTTTTAAAAAAATGATATCTGTGGGTTTATTATTAATTGTTAAAGCACACAAGTTGACTGCAAGTCCTCTATAATGTAGATAACAACTTGTGAAAAAAAGGTTGTGGAGGCTTCGAGTTACGATATGGAAGAAACAGAAAGTTCCCAGAGTTCTGATGTCAGTGCCATTGAAAGCGACAGCTCAGAAGTCGAATATTAACCAATAAAATGGTTTAAAACTCCAAAAGCGTTTGCTTGTACTTTTGATCGTCTTCAGTCGCTTTTGTGAAAACTTTGCGCATTGCTGTAGAAAGAGCCTCAATTTTTAAGCCGCTCTCCGTCACCCACTTCCAGCAATCTCTAAGCGTAAACATTGCCGCTCATGTTTAGAAAGTATGGCTTTAAAATCATCTACATGGTCAAACTCGTAACGCCTTGACATTCGCAGTATTCCACAAAGTAAGTTGCTCGGATGTGAGAAAAGAGATGCTCAATATAGCCTTTGCTCTTCTGAAAACTTTTTTTCTAATAAAAAACAGTAAAAAAGCTGACAGTTAAGGCGTAGAGCGGAAGGGCAGGTAATAGTGGTATAATTAAGTTAGTATATCAAAAAAAAAAGAGGTAGCAAACTGTTCAATAATATAAAAAAGCAGGGAAGCTCTTGAGCACCACCTGGAGAATGTCATATACTTCCTTATTGGCCCCCTTCAGAAATTCGGCTAGGAGGCGCCTTCTTGCTGAACGACTTTGGCAAGCTTTGCTATTTACTTGCACTGAAGGAAACTCCCAAAGTCCTGCTAGCAATCCTTCCGGTCATAACAACGGTAAGGCGGTTGAGGGACCAATCAGAACACATAATCCTGTACCTTTAGCAGGGCGCCTCCTAATCAGATAAGTTTTGTCGGGTTGCTCTCCACTACGCACAGATATCACGCAAACGACAAACGACTCTTCCCGGAGAGCTTTTTTCCTTGACTTGAAGGGAAACGCCGAAACGTCATGACACGGCATTTTCATATCTCCGCAATATAGGCACTCCCCTTCGAGAAAAATTATGTGTTATTGTATTCCCTGTAAAAAACTTTATATCGAGCTTTTGTAGCCAAAAATAGCAAATTAACTACTCATTTGACTGCCTCTACTACCAGTTATTTGTTTGAATTATTCTTAGTGTTCAGAAAAAGATATCTGAAAACGCTTTATTGTTCAGTCGTACCTCCCCCGTGAGGTGGCTTATTTCCTTTATTTTTTAGATTAAACTCTACCTGTAGAGAAAATAATTGTTACTTCGCTGTTATGGGAAAAAGGGAAACTCTAGCGCACAGTCTTAGAGATCTAACATACCGTTTTTCTAGCTTTGCAGAGTAGTTGAACTGGACAGGCAGCACAGTTAGGGTTTTGAGGAGTGCATAGCACAGCGCCCAACTCCATTAGAGCTTGATTGAAGTCGCCTGGTCGGTCAGGATCCACAGCTTCATTGGCAAGTCGCCTGGAAAGTAACCACGTGACTAACCGGTTACTTCCAAGGTGAGCAACATAAGATAGCACCAAAATAGAGAGATCACTGCTTGAACTTTTATATCAGCGCCAATCAATCTTTGTATTATTGATATAAAAATGAGAGAGAGGAGCAGGAAGTGCTCACACCCATAAACCGCATTCTCGCTAACACGCGCATGACATTTCCGTCGACTACTCCCACCGACTTATTAAAGGCGATGGATGCAATAGCATCTAAAAAAATATACAAGCAAAAAATATACACGCTATGAGGTAACAGAAGCCCGAATAATGAAAGGTTTTACTTGCGGTGTACAAACCGATTCCGGGAAGTGTCCTTAACTCTTCTGACGACTCGGGGAGTTTGCCATCGAAGTCTTTCATTATCTGAGTAAAGAGAACGAAAAAGCCAATAATAACTACAGTGGAAACCGAGAAGCAAAGCCTACCTTTATCGCGGCCTCTCTAAGACGTCGAGCGCGAGCATAATATCCAAGACCCGACCACACTTTATTGACATCCTTTCACCAGTTGCATATGAAAGTTTACTAAATAAAGTATTTTAAGCATTCAAAGAGTTTTACCTCGACGCTGGAAACAGCTAGAGCTTCTAAAGTTGGAAATTTCTATGCCAAAAGATATTTAATAACCTCAATTGTCAGAAAAGGTATAAAATAATACGTAATAATAAATATTTACACGACTCTTTTAATAGTAAAGAAAAAATATGGAGTAGAGCCGAGCACCAAAGTCGTAAATAAAAACTAATACTTTTAGAGAAAAGGTTATCTTATAAGTTTTCGATACGTACTTACTCTAAAGTTAAAATCAAGAAATACGCAATCCGGATGAGTACAATAGCTTATTACACTTAAAGTTCATTTTGTTGAGTATATTTTATGAGGATTTAAACTTAAAAAACTTTAAGTCTACTAAAATATGACTGCTTTAAAAGGGAAAAGTTTTCGTATATAAACCACACTACATTCACCCGACTTGATAATTCTAAGTAACAAAAATAACGTTTCCTTAACTCAATCTCGGTAAACGTCTTCTTTAATATTTTACAGAAAAAACTGCTATATTTTACCACAGGTATAATTATTTTTATGTTGATAGTGAATAATTCTACTTTGCCACGCGCTTAAAAAAGCAGTCATACATCTCCACACAGGGATACCGGTAAAAAAAATTTAAAGTATTAAAGTTGACATGATACTACAAGCTCTATATTGAAAAGTTCATGTATTACCTCAATCCAACGAGTGTAATAGTTAATGACAGTGGCAACTTGAGTCTGTTGACACATTACTTCAGAAATCCATACTTAAATTTTTTTTTAAATTTTCTTAAAGGTATATTAAAATCTACCACAAAACCTGCATAGGCGTGTTCAACAGAATTTTTAGTTTTGATAGGTTCAACTATAGATTTGTCCTGATAACTATTTACAGATGAAGTTGAAACTAAGGGCCGCCTCCAAGGAAGTTGTCTCCGATTATCGTCATCTGCAGTTATGTCAAATAAAATAAAGGTTTTTTATATATAAAATTCAGTTATTACACCAAGTAAGAATTGTTCTTCTAAAAATATTTAACTCGTCGCGGTCAAACAAATGAAAGTTTATTCTGTAGTCTAAATTTATATATATAAAACCGTAAAGAATAAAAATTATATTTAAAAAACCTTCAGAAAGCATCTCTTTCCTTTAAACCTTATTAGTAGTACACTTAAGGTCATCAGAGTGCGCAAGCCCACAGCAGACAGGCGAGATAATAGCACCACTCACAACTGGTTTGAAAACAACCTTGAGTGCCGTTAAACTATCTTGAAAGGTTACGAAGTGCCCTAAACATTCTAAACCCTCAGTACATCAAAAATGTTTTGGAATGAATAATAAGAAAAAAAAATATACAAACAAACTTTTATCTAAATATATTTTTAGCCCTCAAACCTTTTTTTTTTATGTTCTCCTTTTTGTTGTATTTTGTTATAAACATAAGGCAATGCAATGGTAATTAGGACCAGCCCATTTCGCCATCTGCGATTATTACGCTGCAATCCCAACGGTGTGCACCGCAAGAAAAAAACTGGCACTGGTACAGCGTAAAGCTAACGGGCATTGCGCTGTAAAATGGGACACATCTGAAGGCGGGTGCAATCATTGTTCTCCGTTCACTTGCCGTATCGCGCTAACTGTTTAAAATTTTCCTTTGAGCTTTTAGGCTCTTTAATAATGCACACGCCTCTAGACGCTAAGCCACTAATAAACTATCCTATAGACATTTACTAACAAGGCCCTGTTCGACCCTATAGACCAAAACAGTATGTTAAACTTGTCCTCTAGACAATAAAGCCTTAACTTCTTTGCAGCCCTGTAGACTGAAAATACGCAACAAACAAAGAATAAAAATTTCGTTGTGCATTAAAGTAAATATGTATATATATATAAATACAATTTCAAAAAAGAGCTTGATAGGTTGAATGTACCAGTCAAAATTAATTAGAACGCAATCTATCTTATTTAAATACACAGGTAGGTGAATCATACCATCAACACTTAACCGCCAAGAAAAACGCTATTGTGGGCGTTGCAATTCTGGTCCTACCGCATCGTTCAATCAGTCCTCCCATCCTAATAAAGCCCGAAAAACTGTTGGGATCCACCTTAGCTTGAGTAGCTCGAAATTGGCTACTGGGCCTTCAGTCCGTAAACTGCTCGAGAACCTGCTGACTCCAGCTGTATAAATACATTGCTGCCAGGAGACTCCCTTAACAAGTAAAGAAGAATGCTGCTGCTTTGAACCTCTCAAAAAATCAAGAATAATCCCGAATATTCCAACCCTCATCGGAAAACAAAGTCAGTCTTCCTTTTCTTTTTGTTTTTGTCACGTTATCAGCACTGAGTCTCAATCTGGGCCATTGCTCTACAATTTTTTTTGTGTCGCGATATCTTTTCTACATCCCTTTGGGTCTACGCTACGTCTTATTGGGTCATTATCTCCTTATTTAAGTCTTTTTCGGCCTTACATCAACTTTTTCCTTTACCTACAGCTAAACTTTAGTTTTTCGAACATAACTTCACTATATATTATATATTTTCCTTAGTTTTTATCAACCTCTTACACTACCTTATAATTTACTCACTTCTTAAAAATATTTATTATTGAACTTCTTATCCTACTTAAGTTAAATTAAACTTATACTAAAATGCAGAACTATTCGGATTCACATAAACACAACGAGTACAATTCCTGAAGGATTCCTTTCAATTTCGACAATGGCTAATTGATATTAAACTAGATTGATAACTCAAAGGGTACCCGACCTTTTTTTACCACACGGTAAAATTGGAGAACCACAAGTTACTTCACATGACAAATTTAAAAGGGCGATTTACAAATTGTAATGGACAGCCTGCGCACAGCACGTAAAGTTTAAAATAGAGGAAATGAAAGTCACTGAACCGGAACGAGCCATACGAAACGTCAAGGACGCTTTGGGCAGAAAGTCGCTGGAAACATTTACCAGCAAGGTATACGAACTTTGCAATGCCACAAAAAGGTACGACAAAACCATTTAACAATTTGCCAGTCGTTTGGAATATATCTCAAACCCCCAACTTGAAGAAACAATGCACCGTTGAAAAACTAACAGCTCACATAAAGAACATAACTAATTTGCGTAAAATTATAGCCCTTCTTCAAGCAGAAACAAGACACAATATAGAGGATGGTTCCAGAATTAACTCTTCCAATACTATTAGTAAAACTAAATTTTACAAAGGATAACACCCTTTAAACATTAATGAATAAGGAAACTTCAAATGCAGGGACTGCGATGGGTCTCACTTAAGATCCCCGCGCCTCACATTAGAGAGGACTGCTCATTTTGAGGAAGAATAGGTCACATTGAGAAAGCTTGCTTAAATACACTATCGAAAAGTACCCCATCAAGAACGACTGGAGAGAACGTACTGCCGGAGGTGAAATGATAGTCTATACTGGTGCGTAATCAATACAATAAACGGCCAGTCTATAGATTATAAAGCTGGATATATGAATTGTCTTGGTAATGGAAAAGCTATTTTCGAAACTGTCTTCCAACGTAATCTTATTTCTGTAGGTAAATTAAATGAAAAAGTCTATAACTTACATTTTGTTTATAATAAGGTATACTTTGAAAAAATTACTGCATTATTGCTCAAGGTACAAATAAAGATGAACTCTTCATTAGGTAACAGGAGCTACAAGACGATTACTCTATGTTCGTTACAAATAATCATTGTCACCCAGTATAGACCCTAAAGAGCACTACAAATGCGGCCACATAAGTTATCACTACCTTTAAAAAATTTGCCCAAACATAACTTACTTTAAAAATGAAGACTGAAATTTATCTAAAGTGTAAAATGAAAAAAAAAAGGTCAATGGAAGAGCGAAACCCACAATAAACCAAAAAACCCGGACAACTAATATACTTTGATACTAATTACTTGGACATTCCCTCTTATGATAGCTTCAGATATGTAATTGTCGGCACTGACGCAAAGTCTAAACGAATTACAACTTTATTTGCCAAAAATAAATTTGAGGTCATGCATGTACTAATTCAATGACTTAAAAAGCACAATAAATATATGAAAAACCTTAAAATAAATGGTAACACATCCACTTCTATCATAGAGGAAATAAGAACAGGTAAGGGGAGTGAGTTTATAAGTGATAGACTGCTTCAAGACGTTTAACAAGCCGGTATTAAACTATCTATAATCCCGAAAGATACCCACAATATGTTAAACGAGAGAGGTGTTCAAAAACTAACTAATATGATTAGAGCATATTAAAACAGTGGAAGCTTCCGATAATTTACTGAAGGGAAGCTTTTAGGGATGCAACATTTATTAAAAAAAAATAACATTCTTAAAAAGAACGAACAACTGTTTCCAGAGGAAACCTTTGACCATGCATCTTTGGGAATTAAATCGTACAAACACCGTTAGGTTGTAAAAATCTTTTCTATGACCCCATTATAAAAAAGAAATCTCAAGACCCAACTCTAAAAGGTGTTCCCTTTTTAAAATCCAAAGACTTAGCTAATGATGAATATAATATACTGAACACAAGTACTAGTAAGATTATAAGTCCAGAAACTTGAAATGCTTTGGAGATACATTTCCTTCATAATTTTTATTTTAGTATAAATAATACAACCCCTAACATGCAACTGAACAAATGCTTTTACCCAGCTCAAAATAAAGCCTAATTCAAAGCCCCTCCAACCCCTCGATACGACAAAACAGCAGTACAGACATAGAAAGTGAAAAAAAAGAAATAATATATGAGTAACCTGAAATTTTAGACGATGACTCACAAAAATCTCTACCTTTCTCTCCGAAAACCGAGCCCTCTTAAACTACCCACATACTACTACATCTAACTGATATAAAAATTCAACCACAGCCTGATCTACTCACAAAAACCAACAAAGAGGCAAATATGATAAACTAGTGTTTCCACTACCCAACTCAAGTGGTAATGAATTAATGAAATCGGCGGACACTAAAATTTTCTAGAAAATTCCAGTAAACAACTTCATCGATTGTAAATACACAAGGTAATTCATTTACAAAATTAATTAACCCATGTGATCTTAAAAATCCCGACAACTTAAAACTTTATTAAATATATTATAAAAATATGAAAAATTGTTGACAACTATATCTTTGTACAAAATCAATACTGTGCAGTTAAATATGGTGTTACATCTTTTTTCGCCCTAATTACCCCTGTTATTCTGGCAGGCGTGGTTACTGCTAAAAATTTGCAAAACTGAGGTGCAAACTTAGTTAGTCTATATACCCTCCCCATTATGTCCTTTAATCTGAAATTGTTCTCTGAAGGTTATTGCGTTACTGCCCCCCTCATATTGTGCCAAAGTGTATCAATAATATAAGGGTCTCGGATGCTGAAAGGCCATGACGAATCTGTAAATGTGAACCCCTTTTCAAAGTCATTTTTGTGTTAACTTGGCTATACGGCAGGAGGCCCCGTCTTGTTGGAAAAACACAATTTTTCTCAGCTTACAGCTCGTTGATACTCGGAAGAAGACTATTTGTTAATATTTTCTGTTATGCTTTACGCCTACTATACTGTCAATAAACTCAAAGTTGCCCAAGCTTTTTCTGACATACATTCCCAAATCATTGCCCCTTTTAAAATTTTATGGTGTGTTTAATGCAATCTTCATGAAAAGCTTCATTTTTTAACATGATAACAAGCCCCCCCCCCCAACACACACACTTCAAATTTTAAATTCGTCACTAAAAAATAATTTTTGCTCATTAATCTACAGATCATAATTAAAATTCACCCAATCATATCAATTTTGTTTTTGTTTTTTAACAGGTGGTTTTCTTAAGTCTACTTGTAATAAAAAAATAATTTTTGAAGTTTGGAATGTACACAATATTAATGTTATTTTTTTATAAAATTTTAGTCTAGATTCGTGTGTCCATTGTCCACAAAAATACACGTAGTAGTTATCCTAACTCTTCGTTCCACTACCTCGTAACTAATTTCATCGCCTTTTTTTACACATTTTTATGAATTGTTTTCTTTACGAAACTAGCTTAAGGTGGCCTGAACTTTCACCTTCAACAACAACATTTTCGATTGTGTTTAATAACTTGAAAAAATTAGTTTATTTGGTTATATTTAAAAGATTCAGCAACCTGACGAACGGTATAGCAAGGTAATAT